AAAAAAAAAAATTTTCAACTTACATAATACGTTATACAGCGATGACCAGATTTAGAATTTTTTGTCAGTTTCCATGTCCTTACTGATACATTAGGTCTCCACTTTCTAGAATAAAAGATGAGAAATACTCAAAAGCATTACTGTAACAAAATAAAAATTATAAAGAAAATTAATGTAAAGAAAACTACTTTTTTTGCGCAAAAACAGTAATGTATTAATGAGTTGAAACTCAAACACTACTACAAAAAGATTCACCGAAAATATGATTATTGGAGAATTGACAAAAACGAAACAACGCGACGTAGCTACAGATTTCTACTAAAAAAAACAAAACCTGTTTATTTGCAGAATGTGATCTTCAAGGACTGGGAATGGAGATGTTTCGCTGTAACCACTTAAAATCTCCACATAACTGTCATTTACAATCCGCTCTTCTAAAACAGGAATAGTGCACCGTAAAAATACTTTGAAGACAAGCATGTGGCATGACCCTTACGATCCGCCTGTGATAACATACTTTTTCTTTCAGATTTGAACAGCAGGTGTGTAAAATAAAAATACAACCTTAACAATTAAAACGTGGGAATAACAAATAATTACTTTTAACTTCGACCGTTTTGAATTTACATGTACTTATCCGGGTCCTTTGTTCACAGGAAATTTCTTTAAAAATGGATTTAATATCTGACTGGGAGGGAGGGACAACGAGCGAATCAATAAAAATCTTTTCAGGTGTAGCTTTCTCCTTTCTCGTCTCGTAGTACTTGCAGCGCGGAGAAAGTTTCAGGGGATTATTCTTGTTCAATTTTGACGAAAGAAAAATACGGAAATTGCGATTCCTGAAATGAAAGACTAGGATAGGAAGAATTATGACAATTCCTTAAAATCAGATAGATAACCTGCGTAACTTACATTGTATAAACTCCAGTATCACATAAGGTAACCTTTTTTGTACCATCTGCATTAAAGACAAGCCCACGATTTGAACAATTCATTTCTTTTTCGAGAAGATTAATATATGATTTTATAGAAGAACATGAGGGAAAAAGATGAGAATTAGGCAGATGCACAATAATATGCTCACTGAACTTTAATGCTGTAGAAGCTTCCAAAACCAACATATGCTGTAAAGTAAAAAAAATTTTTTTGTATAAAACTGAAAAACATATACATAAGAATAGCGATAAATTTGGTTCTGGAGAAATAAAGAAACACATCTTTAAAAAACCTTGCCGACATCGATATCTATATCAAACATTTGTTTGAGCGTTTCTTTAACGCATGAATTAAATTCAGCAACCAATTTCTCTTCATTTGCATCAGGATTTGGTTCTCGATAGTACTCCAGATCAAAAAACAGTCTAACTGGAGTATTATCCGGAATAAGCTCATAAAAAGCAAGTCCATCTCTTTTGCTATACCATAGCCAAAATCGCTCCAAAGTAGATACAAGGAACAGGCGACCGCCTAGAATTCACAAGCGAAATTCATTCTTTCTAATCTTAATATAACTCTTAACGAGTTCAAAGTCTGACCAAAATAATTAAATTAGAAGTAGTAGGACCCACCGCTCCGGCAAGATGGATGTTCGAAAGAAAATACACGAGCTTTCATTCCCTCTTCAGCTTTTTTTTGTAGCGCTTCTCTTTGACGCTTGAAAATATTAAAGCATCCTAACGACTCTTCATGCAAACTGTAGACGACGTTCTGACCACTTCGCTACAAGAAAATACCCTTTTAAACAAAATATGGAAGATTCATTCTTGAAAGGTTAATCACCGACAGACTTGACTATACCCAGTTTACTGGTAAATAAGACCGAAATTGCCATGCTGACGTTTGAATATGCAGATGAGTTCTTATCCGCTGTAATCGCCTCAGCGTCACTTTTTTTGGGTAAAAGAGGCCGCTTTGCTCTTTTCCACGGCGGTCCATAAAACCAGTTTACCAAATCTTCACTTTCACTTTTTATAGTGTCCATAATTGCCAAACTACATTACAGCTGCCATTACTAACTGGAACCCATTGATCATAAGCCCTGAAACATTCTCAAGGTTACTGAATACCTAACTAAGAACGAATTCTTGAGTTGCTAAAAAAAAAAAAAGGAAAAGTTGACTCACATCTAAACTGCTTAGGGCCTAAAAATACTCAGTTCCCCTCGTTTCAAAACAGTCTAGTATCTCGCGTAATACTAGCAACACAAAACTTAGTACTATCTTCTATGAATCTAAGTCTTCCAATGTATTATAAAGTCAATAAGAACCCGGAACTGTAACACTTCAGTCTGAATTATAGAGCAGGCGAATCAAACATCGGAACACAGGGTAGTTTTCAAACAGCTTTTAGCGCCACAGCGAATATTTGAATTTAAACCCACTGTACAAGTTCAAAGTACAAAAGCAGCGTACGAATCCTCAACTGGTTTTTTGAATAATTTTGGTGCCAGCGACTGAGAAATGATCTCAAAGTAGTTCTTTTCTGTCGCTGTATCCGTGTCGACTAAAGAGGCATTGGGAGTTCTTCTTAATTAGTCCGACCTCAGCTTAATACAGTGTAAGAGAAGTTGATCTGTTCTTTAAAAGGAATAGTCTGAAAATAATGCAGTTCAAATTTGAAGAACTTTAACCATAAGCTGTCAAACTTCTTTCGCTGCACTTGTTTAACTCAGCAGTACTTTCCATCCCTATTTCGACGCTACTATCTTCAGCTGCAACTACACCAATATAATCAGGATGATTACGGTGGCCAAAGGTACCTTTTAGTTTACAACTGCTATTATTAAATTTCGGGTCACGAGAGAATCCATAAGAGTGGAGGTGCTCGGACGGCTTCCTAAATTTTAAGATGACTTCTCTATTCAGTTATTACGTTAAACAACCTCACCTGGAAGAGATTTTGAATTCTACCATGTTCATGAGTGGAACAGTCTAATCTAATTTTTAAAAGGCCATCTTCGAGTACTGCATGTGCCACAGTCCTGCTCAGCTTCCTAAGAAATACGTTACAAAGATATCACTATAATCTTGCAATCGCTGCACTTCTTCGTTCTCCCATCTTCAAAAATGCTTTTCAGTGGTACAGTGGCAACAAACTCAGCAAAACGATACGCCTTCATCAAACAGTTTCAAATTTCAGACTTTAATGGGTTTACTTCACTGACTAACAACTTTTGCAGTCCTATTATGTCGTCGCAAAAAGACCAATTGCGTTTTGGGGAATCCCATCGTACTTCAAAGTTCACTTGTAAAACAAGGGTAAGATTAAGATGAAGGAACGTCCAGATTTGAGGTAAAAATGAGATAAAAGAAAGTTGACAACCTTCATTTGAAGTGGCAGTCTTATGAACTTCATCCCACTATTCTCGACTACAGTTCATTTCCTTCACTAACCCTTTATCTACAGCTTCAAACTGGTAAAGAACTGAAGAGGTCTTTATTCAAAATCCTACAGTAAATACGATTAGATGTGGATGCGCAGTCGAAACTAGGTAACTACATCTCAACGGGATAATCCAAACCATTGCTCTTATGATAGGGAAACGTCTTTGAGATTTTCAAATATCAGCGCAAAGGCGAGAAAGTCGACAATAAAAAACAGCTTAGGACAAAGCAAAATCTTTTTGCAAGTCGATTAACATACAAAAAACTTTGAAAAATAGTTTTTTTGGCGGCCAACGAAGCAAACTACAGATTAAAGTTGAATGATGACAGATTGCGACATAAGTCGCTTCTTTATGTTTAAATGAAACTTTATAGGTGAGCAAATATCAACAAATATCAAACCCTGACTTCTGTTCAAGTTTTTGATTGTCGACGTTTTTTTCCTTCGAGTTGTTTTCACTGGTGGCTTTAACGACACAAAGTTTTCACATTTTATTGTCCCTCGCATTCCGTTTTACACACAAATTTAGATCTGATTTTCTCTACTGGATTCTCTGCTACGGAGACTCCATCCCGGACAGAGTTCTAGACGCAGTGAACTATACCTACAAATTCTCCAAAGTTTCCTCATGGCAAATTTTTCGCATCCGTAATTCATTTCACAATCTTTTCTTGTATGATTCGGGTCTAGGAGGTCTAGATTGATGGTTCCAAGCAATGGCGTAACGCAAACTGGTTTTTGTGTTATGTAGAGAATTATCATCTTGCTTGTAACTTTTTCCCGTTTCACTCCTAACTTCTCGGACCCACAAATTCAAATTTGGACATTTCGTTTGAATCCTCGCTGGTACTACAGTTTTTACAACCAGCAAAGAAAACAATTTCTAGGTCATTAAAAGAAATAAAAGAGCGTTTCATAAGTCTCAAGTTTTTTTTAAAGTTCAGTAAATTTTACGTTTCACACGTCCTATGAAAGGATTATTTTCCACGGGAACTTAACGCCTTTAATCTCGTTTTGCTACATTCTGGCTCAGAAGGATTGGAACTTTTCTCTACTTGATATTTTACCGCTCGTCAGCCGTAAATTCATCTGTTCTAGAGTACCTTCATAGTCCTTAGTTTTTAATGGACTGTGCAGGGAACTAACATGTTGACCTCCATGTTAAAAGCACCACCAGCGAGGGGGTGTTCTGTCTTTTTCGTTCCCCTAGTATTTTTTCAACAGAGGAGGCAAAATTTGAAAAATACCTGAAATCTGGAGAACACTTGATCGTCAAGAAGACTTCAAGCATTCTTAAGAGTTTACTTTTGGTAGGATGCCAAGCATCGCAAATTTGAAGTTTCAAGCAGTGATTGAGGTCGGCAGATGAGGAAGGGGCACTCTGTTAGATCCCTTAGCAAACACAATTTTCACTCATCTGTG